TGTTGCATTCCTGCCCAGATAGACCTGCGAGGGAGTGGGCAGTGAGACAGAACCAGCAGGCCCCAGGGGCAGGAGGCAGCAGAGGGGGCCACTATTTCCCCTGCTCTGGCCCCACCCCCACATACAGCATCACGACTCAGCAACCTGGGCAGCCCTGTCCGTTCCTCAAACTTAACAGGTGAGAACAGACCAAAAATGGCTCAAGAAGATCTCAAAGCCCCAGAGCCCATAAATCTAAGTGATGAAGAAATAGCAAAACTTTCAGATGCACAGTTCAAAACACTGGTGATCAGGATGCTCACAGAACTGGTTGATTTTAGTCACAAATTAAAGGAACGTATGAAGGCTAAACTAATTGAAATGAATGGAATTGCACAGGAAACCAATAGTGATGAAAAAGAAACTGGGACTCAAATCAAGGGAGTGAACCAGAAGGAAGGAAAAAATGACCAAACAGGAAAATATGAAGAAACAAGAATTCAAAAAAATGAGGAGAGGCTTAGGAACCTCCAGGACATCTTTAAACGCTCCAACATTCGAATTATAGGGGTACCAGAAGGGGGAAAGGAACAGCCATCAGTGGAAAACTTATTTGAGCAAATAATAAAGGAGAATTTCCCCAATCCGGCAAAGGAAATAGACTTCCAGGACATCCAGGAAGCTCAGAGAGTCACAAAGAAGTTGGACCCAAGAAGAAACACACCAAGGCACATCATCATTACATTAGCCAAGATTAAAATGAAGGATAGAATCCTAGAAACAGCAAGAGATAAGGGGACAGTCACCTACAAAGGAGTTCCCATCAGACTGTCAGCTGATTTCTCAAAAGAGACCTTACAGGCAAGAAGGGGCTGGAAAGAAGTGTTCCAAGTCATGAAATCCAAAGACCTACAACCAAGATTACTCTATCCCATTTAGAATGGAAAGACAGATAAAGTGCTTCTCAGATAAGATCAAATTTAAGGAGTTCATCATCACCAAGCCCTTATTATATGAAATATTAAAGGATTTATCTAAGAAAAATCAGATAAAAAATATGACCCAGCAAACTCACAGTTATTAACAACCACACCTAAAACAAAAGCAAACTAAGAGGATAGCTAGATCAGGAGCAGAACCATAGAAATGAAGATCACATGGAGGGTGAACAACAGGGGAGTGGGAGAAGGAGAAGAGGGGAGAAGGTACAGAAAATAAGTAGCATAGATGGTAGGTAGAAAATAGATAGGGGGGAGGGCAAGAATAGTAGGGGAGATACAGAATCTAAAGAACTTGAGACACGTGGTCATAAACTAAAGGGGGAGAATAGTGGGGGAGGGGGTATGCAGCGTGGAGGGGAATGAAGGGGGGAATAGAACAACTGTAATGGCATAATCAATAAAATATATGTTAAAAAAGATTAGAGAAGAATTACGTAAAATGGAGACTAAAAAGAAGAAAGGATTAATGAACCTAAGAGTTGGGTTTTTTTTTTGTTTTTTCTTTCTAAAGAAAATTTCTATTTATTACAGTCCAGTTTCACAATTATTTTCTATTTCAATATTCAGAATAGACAAAATGTCTGATAGGTAGAAGGATGCACTGTAGATTCAGTGTGTCCATGGGAGGAAGGAAACTCTATTGCAGATTTAAGAAGAATTAGTATTATTGCTCAAACTCTTCCTAACAAATTGAAGAGGAAGAAACAAACCCATTTTATTAGGTCAGAATAACCCTGACACCAAAGTCAAACAAGGAAACCAAAAAAAAAAGAAAATTGCTGGCCAATATTCCTGATCAACATAGATACAAAAATTCTCAACAGAATACTAGCAAACCAAATTCAAAAAGCACATTACCAGTGTCACACACCATGATCAAGCAGGATTCATCCTTGGGATGCAAGGGTAGTTCAACATATGCAAATCAATAAATGTGATAAACCACAGTAGACTCAATGTAGGGGAAAATCACAGAAACATTGAACCAAGGGATAAGGGGAGTTCCATGGGCAGCAGCCACAAAAATCAGGGTGCTACAGAAGTGCTCGAGCTCTTTTCTAGGATATAAAGATGACTTGAATTAAGGCGAAGGGAGAACAGAGATGTAGTGCCTGAAGACCTCTATGGTCTTTGGAAAGCATTTCAGTCAGTCCGTATATGTGTGTTCAGTCAGATGCCTGCCCCTCAGGCTGAAGCTTTTAAAGTAGACCTCTTTCACAGGAAGACTGAGTGATTTTCAGTTTGTGCCTCTGTGCTGTGCCTGAGGGATTAGCCATGGTGAGACTGCTTGAGCCCATTGAGAACTGTTTATTTTGGTTTTCTATAAACTTCCGGACCTCATGGATGCAAGCCTTGTTGGCTTTCAAAGGTATCTCTCAGGTGCAAGACTTATAAATTGTGGTGCCAGATGTGGGGCTCAAGCTCTTCCCTACTTTCAGCTGTGGGTCACCATACCTGGGTGGGGTTTATGGCAAGATTGTGTCTCAATCTCTCCTTCCTATGTTGACATGAGTTTTTCCTCATTCACCTGATGTGTAGGAGTTGCTTAGCTAGTTTGGGGGTTTCTTTTCAAGACAGTTGCTCTGTATGTAGGTGTAGAATCAGTGTGTCCATGGGAGGAAGTGAGTTAGGATTTCCCTACATCACTTTGAACCATGGTATATGTTTTTCTTATCCTTTCAATTGTTCATGACTGAGTTATTTTTCCAACTTTATATTTTTCTACCTATTATTGTGCTCTAATCTCTATTTTAGTACTAAAATCATCTAACTTCCCAATTCTCCCACTTGTTTACTTACTTTATAGAACATCACTCTTGGAATCCACATCAATTCCTAACCTTCCATTCTTGGTTTCACTTCTACTCTCCCTTCTGAAACTGAGAGGAAATAAGTTCTCACTTCCATTCTGAGGTTACTCCTTTAGAAACACTGGGCATGTGCTTCCATAGTGAAACATACTAGAAACCTCATGTCTGTTTCAATGAAGATCTTATCCAGGAAACCTAGATTTATTCAGAGAAGTTAAACATTAGTCATTCTGAAAGACTAGACAACTTCAAATGTAAAATTCACTTCTAAAGCAGTATTGTTAAGGGCTAAAGTTCCCAAATATTTAAGAGTCTTTTCTTCTGTATGGAGAAAAAGGCAAGCAAATGTACAATAAAAAATAAAAGAACATTCAAGACTTCTCCAAACATGTTAAAAAGTGTTTGCTTAGTGTTTCACATGAAGTTACTCTATTTGATTACTATGTCAGTTCATGCAAATGACAAGCATGTATGAGGGGGAACCCCCAAAAAACCATAATTATCTTCTGGAGAGTGGGCCCCTTGTAATACAGGCTTCCCTACTAGGCGAGTGTTCTAGGGACTCATCTGTATCAGTGTACCAGCTGGCATTGTTGTGAGAGGCTGCATTTAGCTTCACTGAATTTTTTTTGAAAACTCTTTTAACCCATTTGCCCATTTCATGATGGGTGATTTCCGAGCACACTTGACCACACTGTGCTGAATGTTCAGCAGCTTTTTGGCCAAAAATGGCATGACCCCAGTGCCTGACACTCCCTCTCACCTGATCTCACCCTGAGCAACTTTTTTTGTTTCCCTGAATGAAAAAAGTCCTCAAGAGGAAATGTTTTGCCAGTATGGAAGAGGTAAAAAAAAAAAAAGACAGAAGCACTAAAAGGCATCAAAATCGATGAGTTCAAAAACTGTTCTGAGCAGCGAAGGCATGTCGATAGGCATATTGCATCAAACGGAGAGGACTTTGAAGGTGACTGAAGTTTTAACATGTAAGAATAAATACACAATTTTTTGTAAATAAATTCTGTTTTTTGGGGGATCCCCCCTCACATATAATATAAAGTGATTTAGCTTATATGTCTTCAAAATATGAACAATTATTCACCTTTAATGCTATTTCTATATAATTTTTATTAAATTTACTGGAGGGGCATGGGTTAATAAAATTTTATAGGTTTCAAGTGTATATTTCCGTGACACATGGTCTGTATATTGCAGTGTGTGCCCACCACCCAAAGTCAAACCGTCTTCCATCACCACATATGTGAACCCCTTTACATTTTCTACCTCTCCACACCCTCGTCGTTCCTCTGGTATAGGTGAGGAAGATAGGTGGAAAAGGTAAAAGAAATCAAGAAGTACAAATATCTACCTACAAAATAGTCATTGCTACATAAAGTACAGCATAGGAGATATAGTCAATAAAATTGTAATAACTATGGATGGTGCCAGATGGGTACTACAGTTATTGAGGTGATTTATTGTAAGGTCTGTAAATGTCTCATCACAATGTAGTACATCAGAAACTAAAACAGTATTGTATGGACTAGCCAAAGAACTTATATGTGTAACCCATAGACACAGAAAACTGTGTGGTGATAGCCAGAGGGAGGTAGGGCAGGGGCAAAGTATGGGCAACAGGGACGCAGAAATGGGGGCAGCTATAACAGTATCAACAATAAAAATATAGTTTAAAAAGAAAAATAAATAAAATTTTAAAACTAAAAAAAAAAACTCCTGAAAAAAAGAGGCCTCATTTATCTATGTCTCCTCCAACTCTTGCTATTACCTTTTTTTAATTGTTGTTCAGTTACAGTTGTCCCGCCTTTTTCCCCATTGCTCACGCCTACCTCGTCCCCCCACTCCCACAGTCCATCCCCTGCATTGTCCATGCCCACAAGTCCTCTATTATTTGCTTGCCCCTTCCCCTTCTTTCCCTCATTATTCCCCTCTCCTCTCTAGTTACTGTCAGTTCTTTATTTCCCTCTGGTTCTATTTTGCCCCTTTGTTTTGTTGATTAGGTTCCAATTACAGGTGAGATTATATGGCATTTGTCTTTCACTGCCTGCCTTATTTCACTTAGCATAATGCTCTCCAGTTCCATCCTTTGCCATGAAAATCGGTATAAAATGGTATACAGGTTGGGCAAAAATAAGTTTACAGTCGTGAGTATACAAAACAAAGTTTATTCTTGCATTATTATTAATTCTTGTATTGTTTTCCATATAAACAACTATGAATTTACCATTGCCTGACAGTATTGTGGTCTTTACTTGCACTTCTCAAATTATGAGTGAGGCTGAACATCTCTATAAAATATGTTTTGGGACCAGGTATTTCCTCTTCTGTGAAATGCTTTTCCAATATTTTGCCCATTTTTTTATTGTCTTTCTAAATAATTTGTGACCAGTTTGTATGCTCTGGTATTGATACTGTGTTAGTTATAAGTATTTGAAATATCTCCTTTCAGTTCCACTTTTTACATTTTTATAGTGTTTTTTTAAGAGTTTATTTATCTTTAGAGGGGAAGGGAAGGAGAGAGGGAGAGAAACATCAATGTGTGGTTGCCTCTTTTGTGTCCCCCGCTGGGAACTGGCCTGCAACCCAGGCATGTGCCCTGATTCGAATGGAACCTTGATCCTCTTAGTTCACAGGCCCGCGCTCAATCCACTGAGCTACGCCAGCCAGGGCGTACATTTTTATAGTGTTTTGATGAACAAAGTTGATCATTTTGGTGTAGAAGAATTTTTAATTATTTTTCTTCTTGGTATACACATTTCGTATCTTTTTAAAGAAATCCTGTTATGGTAGCCTGCCTATAAGATGGCTCTCAGTGATTTTCATCTTCTGCTGTTCATGCCTTTGGGTAATCCTCTTTCTTAGTAGATCAGGTTTGGTCTGTGTAACCAGTGAAATGCGCCAGAAGTTCAAGTGTGTGATTTCTGAGACTAGATTATAAAAGACATTACTACAGCCACCATATTGTGAGAACACTCAAGAAAACCTATGGGGAGTTCCCTATGGTGAGGATCTGAGCCCTTATAACAATAGCCAGTACCAAGTTGCCAGCCATATGAATGAGGCATCTAGGAAGCAGATCCTTCCACTCTTGCCAGGCCTCCAGATGACTACTGTCCCAGTTTGACCAAAATAATTTCTCAACGGCATTTTGTGGAAGGATGGTCCTAATTTTCAATAACTACCTCCACATAAGTCTTCTGAAGACAAAATAGTACCATCTCTGGCACAAGGAATGTTTGTAAAAAGAAATATGAAGAAAGTAAAGAATGCATAATGAATTAAAGGAAAAAACAAGGAAAGAAGGGCTCAATCTATCATTAGAAGGAAAGAGGAAACAATAACAAGGACGATTGAAGGGAGTAAGGAATCTGGATACTTCCATGAAACTCTATGATAAGAATTACACATAACTTACAAGAGGAAAGGATCATTTTATGATAGGTCTCCATTTTAAATGTGACCGTGAATAACATTCCACTCAAAAATAAATCTTCTTCATTTCACATATTGAATTTCTTTTAGAATCACAGAAAACATCATTCCAGCCCCATCCTCTATGATCCCAGAAAACTAATGAAGCACATTCCTCTGCAGAAAAATTGGGCTCATTCTGGTGCCATAATCTAAAGAAAAACAAAGAATAAAAACACTTTAATGAATGCTTAGTGATTGATGAAAGCGTATATAGGGTTGGGGGTGAAGAGAAGGGGGTTCAAGGTGAAAGAACACTCCAGTGATTGCCCTCCTCTTCTCATTCTGCCCTCCTCAAAAACCCCAAGTGTAAGCACGAACTTTTATAATTGGTCCTTTAACATTCTTCTGGCAAAATTTTTATGTGCTTGAGTAATATTGGACCTATTCCTTAAAATCTGATCTTCGCTTCTTCCTCTACAAAGAGCCCTTATCCTGATCTGGGTTGTGAACAATTGCTTTCTTAACAGCATATAATATAAGAGGCTATCTCCTTCATTTGTATACTCTCATTACCTTCCTAAATTCCTATATTCTCATACAGCTTGAGTCTGCACATAAGAAGTTACCCTGCCCAAGAGGAATACAACCTGTGGTGGGGGTGAGGGGGGTGTGGGGTGGAACTTTGTCTTTGGAATTAAGAGACCTGTTTTAGCTGCTGGCTCATTTTGATCTTAAGTATATAATTTGTTCTATTCAGGTACTTGGTTCTTCATCTATAAAAATAGGAATCATAATGAGATCTCCAAATAACTTATAAGATTATGTGAGAATTATATGAGATAATGTGTAAATTCTGGATTTTTGTGAAAGCCACAAATAAATAGCATTATTTTATAATTATCCTGTTAGAATTGAACACAGTTCTGACACAGATATTTTAAATCTTATTAATTGAAGTAAATTTTACTTGAAGTGCCTACATATGTTTAAAGGCAGCAAACTGTAATGATTAAGCACCATCTTTGGAGTTAGACATGGAGTCGAGACCGTTTCTCATCGTACTAGTTTTTGACCTCAGGAAAGTTATTCCATTTCTCATCGGTACAATGAGTTCTAAAAAAGTTTTCATGAAGTCTAAGTTTGACAATACATGCACTTAGTAAGAGCTGAATAATTGTTAGAATCTGTTATTATCCATTATCCGGATTAGCCAACAAAATTTCCCTACATTTTTATGTAAACAAAGCTCCGTGTTCATTAATGTGAGTCTGTACTCACCTGACGTTTTCTGTGTAAGGTGTCTGATCAACCCATTGCCAATTGTTATTCCTTTGTGGATCTGAGAGTCCCAGAAAGTAAGACAACGATTTATTCAGCTGCTGAACAATAAAATTCTGCATAAAGAAAAAGAAGCATAGACTGAAATTTCCAGGTTGTATACAGTAATGGTTCTTTATAGCTCTGAAAAGGAATGAAAAGGCAAGGTGTGAGAATCGTGGTATGACAGCTCATTGGACAAGAGAACAGGCCAAAACACCAACATCATCATAGGAAGGAGGGAGTTATAACCCATGAATTTCTTTCTCAAACAGAATTTATTTTTTTCTTCACCAAGATGCAGAATTATTTTTAAATCTATGTCAGTTTTTGTGCTTTCAGTTATTTTTTTAATTTACAAGTTCAGATGCACTCTATCTTACTATTTATCAGTGAAATGGCATTTAAAGTTAGCAAAATTCAAATTTGTTCCTCTTTTCTCCTAAGTAGTAATTCTTTAGGAAGTATAAATTACTTTAAAAAATTAAACATAAAAATGTATTTATTAGAATACAGTTAGAGCAATTATTTCTTTAAAAATTATTAGTCTTATTTTTCCATCTGGGCCTCTATATTACCTGTTTAGTCTGTCTAGATTGTTTTCCCATTGACATAAGGTGCAATTAACTTCAAATAGACTGTGCAGGATAACGTGTACTGTCCTGAGATGCTCTGACATGAAGTAAACATTCTGGGGAGGGAAGATGCTCCTCGGCCAATGGTGTTATGTTATGCAAAATTTTTCCTGACATTAATTTCTGTTTTTAAAGGTACCCTGCTCATCATGGAATAGTATTATTATCTGCCTAGGCATTTTCAATAGATTTCAATAGTTTAAAAAATGAACAGCTATACCTCCTTTTGGTGTTACCATTGCAGCTTAAGCATATCTGTAGCTGGATATTTAAAAATTTTTAAAGGTGAGAGAGAAACATTCTGTCTCTTGCTCCCAAATTGTCTAACTAATTTGAGTAAATTAGAGGATGTGCCTTTTTGATGTGATGTTTTTATGATTAAAAAGTGGTTACAGGTAATGTTTATAACATGTCAGCTATTGTAATTTCCTATGGTAACTAACATTCTCAATGTTTTTGCAGATGAAACTTTTAAGCACTGAGCCACAGATTCTCCAGGCTGCTAAACCTTTCATTTCCTTGCACATTTCAGTTATCAGAACAGATTACCTCCCCCCCACACACACACAAACCATAACATACATTTGCTTGACGAATTTCTTGCTTAACTGCACAACTATGATGGAATTATGTTTCTAAGTTTCTTGCTCCAGTGAATTAGGCATGTGGATAGTAGGGAAATGGGATGGCAGGTAAGTTTAAAATGGTGTCCTCTTGCAAAGAGCTCAGACTTTTAATTAACTATTATAAAATAGATTGGTTCTCATTGCCCAAGACTGGTTTTCCTTGGAGTTTTGTTGAAACAATCTTAGTGATTTCCTTCATTTCAAACAACTTGTAATCTCACATGCCACTGTCTCTCTGATATTTGACCCTTTTGTTTCACCTTTGGTACATATTGTGTGAATACATCAACCTAAGCAGAGAAAAGCTTTTCTATGCCTCTATTTCAGTGAATAACACAAGTTTTGAATAAAAGAAGCAATTTCTTAAAATTCTAATTCTAAAGACAATTAAAAAGACAAGAAACCATCATGGCCTAAACCACTTACCCAGAAGATATATGTATTGTACTTCAATGCCATAGTACTTTATTATTAAAAGTAAACACATTTTACTTTAAATTACTTTATATATTACTAATGGGCTTTAAAATTTTTTTTAATTGTTGTTCAAGTACAGTTTTCTCCATTTCCCCACCCCCGCTCCCACCATCCCAGCCATCCCCACCCCCACCCTCGATCCTACCCCCTTTGTCTTTGTTTGAAAGACTGGGCTCTTTGCCAAAATCAACATCTAATAAAAACATAATTATTAAAATTAAGAACAATCTGACAGTAACCAGATGGGAGGTGGGAGGGGATAATGGGGGTGAAGGGGCATGGTTTTCAGGAACCACTATAAAGGACACATGGACAAAACCAAAGGGGGGTGGGATCAGGAGAGGGAGGTGGGGATGGCTGGGGTGGGGGGAGTTGGGGGTAAATGCAGGCAACTCTACTTGACCAACAATAAAATAATTTTAAAAAAGAAAAGAAAGCATGACTTCGTTTACTGAGATGCAAACTGGATGTGATGCTTTCAAATAAATTCAATACTTTTAGAAACAGTGCATGTGTTCCTGGAATTTCTAAGTAGTATATTAGTAATTTAGATGAGTGATATCTGAGTAATTTAGATTAGTGATTTAGATTAGTGATATCCAGTTTAGAGGCTGAGGAAGGAGAAAAAAGAAAATAACAGAAAGAAAAACAGCTTAAATGCAATTTCTAAGTTTTCTTGTTAGGGCCCTGAATTTTGCAGCACAAACTGAAGTCAAATGAAGAACAATCCTTTCATTCTGTGTACAAAAATATGTTACAGGGAGCTCTAGAGAAAACAGAATGCTTCATAACAGGTCCTTAACAATACTTAAAAAAATTGGCCAATATTTATTAAATGCTGCAGGTGCTACTTGCAATATTCTCTGTGGGTTTTATTATTATTTTTTACTTTTGTTTTTATTAGAATACAAATTAATGCTGTCAAAACAGACACTCTTCAAATATAGATAACTGTTTTGAGATGTTTTTATTTACTAGGCAATACTTTACAATGAACATACCTGTATATTTAAGGTAAAAAGGTTGGATCAAGTCTTACTAAATTTAAATTTTTTTATTTTATCTATTGAGAAGTGTGCGTCTGGTAGATAAAAAAACAAGTGAAATTCTGAGTATTAAGGTTAGCTGTATAAAGAATTTTCACAAAGTTTTCCTGGAAAATGTAAACTTTGCTACATGTAATATTTCACTCAATGTGTTTCAGTTTGTAAGTCAGACCTGCTAGTTTGTTACTCTCCACTTTAGAGCTCATTTGCCCTTAAGAATACTTGGCTTTCATTTCACCAAACAGTGCAGATTGGTTGTTGATTATATGGTTAAATGTCAACATTTCTTCAGGAACGTAAGTATAAGAGAAAAGAAAATTTTGAAACAGAGATCGTTAATTACTTGTTTGAAAAAGTCTACATACAGAGAATTCTGTGGAATCAGGTTTCACCACACATATTCAGTTCATTCAATGCAAAGAAAATGGAAAGTCCACATGGATTTTATTTCTCAGTGTGGATGTAGAAAATATAGAAAGATTGATATCAATCTCATCTTTTAGTGTGTAAAATAAAGAAATATTTCTTTTCTCTTGGAAAAACATGTGCTTTGCTGACATGAGCAAGATGGTAGACTAGAAAGCCCCAGGCCTTCATTTTCCCAACGTGCCAACAGTATCTGCACCTAATTGCTTTTGCGGATACTCAAGAAACCAGTTAAGAGGTTGCAGCACACAGGGCGAGTGCAAACCCCAGAGCAGCTGCATCAAAGTAAAATGGAAGTTTGTTGCATTTATCTGCCAGCATTTTCCCACTTCATGGGTACAGCACAAAGCAACTGGGAGAAAACTTACAACTCACAACACTCCCTCGGGAGAAAAAGAGGGAAAAATGTGTCCAATGTTCTGCTTCTTTTTTTTTTCCCAAGGATGACAGAAGTACTGGTTTCTGTCTTGCCTGTCTGGGAGCACAGGGAGTTACTGTCTGTCCTGGGCCCCACCCCTACGCATGTACGTGTGTGTGTGTGTGTGTGTGCGCATGCGTCTGGCCCCTGCCACTACATAGGCAACTGCAGCTGGCCCCCACAGCCAAGTGTGTGCACGTTATCAGCTCCAGCCACCACCACCCCCACACTTGGTGTCCTGCCCCACTAGACCTGGGGTCACAGCATATCCCAGTATGCCCCCATTCACAGGTGAAAGTCTTTCTGTACTAAAGTCAGTTCATAAAGTTTGGAAGATACAACTACTTCTTCAAATGCATAGCCACCTATGCAAAGCTACAGGGATCACAAAGGACTGGGGGGTGGGAATGACTCCATCAAAGGAATACAACAAATACCAGTTACTGAGCATCACCAGTAACAGGTTTGAAAGAAATGGAGATCCAGAAATACCATACAAAGAGTTCAAAATAATTGTTCTAAAGATGCTCAGAGAGCTACAAGAGAACACATATAAATAATACAATAGCACCAGAAAAACAGTACAAGAACAAAACAATTCAATAAAGATATGGGAACATAAAAAAAACCATAAATTTCAGAGCCAAAGAATCCAGTGACAGAACTGAAGAATTCAATAGAAATCTTCAAAATCAGACTTGACCAAGAAGATGAAAGAATAAGCGGGCTCAAAGATGAACCAATGGAGATTCCCCAAATACAGGCAAAAAAATAAAAATAATTAAGGACTGAAGAAAGTCTGTATCACCTACAGGATATCATCACAAGAGCCAATTTGTGGATTATTGGAGTTCAAGAAGAGGGGGAGAAGGAAGTAAAAAGCTTATTGAAAGAAACAATGGCGAAGAAAGCGACAAAGGCAGGCATGGATCACCTCCTTGTACAACCACATCAAAATTACAATTAAAATATAGAACCATCACTCAGGAATGTCAGAAATCAAGCCAAATGGAAGTCTAACAAGCATGAAATTGAGTTGGATGGAAGTCTGACAACTACCAAATTAAAGAAACCACATCCTTCAAGACTTAGGAGGGTGCAGACACAGAACAGGCTGGTCTCTCACCCACATGTGGTAAGTAAAAATGTAAGAAGAATATCTCAGGAGTGAGCAAGCTCAGCCCCACACCAGGCCCTCCAGCCCAAGTTTCCAATGCCAGGAAGATAAGTCCCCACAATTTCTGTCTGCAAAAACCACTGGGGATTGAGTCAGTTCCTCTTAAAGACCCACACAGAGACTCACTTACTCAGACTCGCTCCCTCTGAGATCCAGTGCCAGCGTGGAAGCTTGAAGGGCACCAGTGGCATACTGGGAAAGGCAGAAGTATCTGGCATCGGGGCGAGCAGAGGATATTGTCACTTTTCTGGAGCTCTCCACTTGCACAGCCACAGAGCCAGCAGGCTAGTGCCATATTTGAGACTCGTTCAACCTGATTAACACTGTTTGATCCACCTTGAACATTCCCAGAAATTCTGTCCTACACAATTTATGGTCCCAAACACGTTACTTTTCCATATAAATGGCTGCTTCACAACTTCCTAAATCTTAACAGTCAATAGCAGGCCTCAGTGAACTCCAAACCCAGCACCAGTAGCAGCCATCTCAGATTGCTTTATAGTTCGGGGAGGTCAGCCCTGGGCAAAACACAAATGTGGACTGACCTTAGCCTACACCACCCAGGAACCCCAGGGCCAGTGCACCCACTGGACAGCTATAGGCCATGCCAGAGCACCACCACCCTGCCTCTATACTGCTGATCTTCCATGGAGGGCAGAGGTTGGAGGTCAGTGGTCACAGCCAATCCTTGCAGTTGACTGGCCTGGGTAAATCCCTTCCACTGATCTGCCAACAGTCCCTAGAGCTCAACTACAAGAAGGGTGTACTCAGCCCACATAAAGGGTGCACCGTGAGTACCCACCTTGGGCAATAGGGGAGGTTGTGCCACTGGACCCTAAGGGACACCTACTGCGTTAGTCCATACTACCAAGACACAGAGTCAAAAAGCAGCTCTACCTAATATATAGAAACAAACACATGGAGGCTGCCAAAATGAGGAGACAAAGAAACATGGTGCAAATGAAAGATCAGATCAAAATTCAGAAAAAGAGCTAAACAAAATGGAGATAAGCAATCTATCAGATACAGAGTTCAAAACACTGGTTATAAGGATACTCAAGGAACTTAGGACCTCAGCAGCATATAAAACATCCAGTCAAAAATGAAGAATTCACTAACTGAAATAAAGAACAATTTACAGAGAAACAACAGTAGAGTGAGTGAAGCTGAGAATCAAATCAGTGAACTGGAACATAAGGAACCAAAAAATTACCAATCAAAACAACAAGAAGAAAAAAGAATTTAAAAAAAATGAGGATAGTGTAAGCAGCCCCTGGGACAACTTCAAGAGATCCAACATTTGCATCATAGGGGTTCCAGAAGGAGAAGAGAAAGAGCAAGAAATTGGTGATCTATTTGAAAAAATAATGAAAGAAAACTTCCTTAATTTGGAGGAGGAAACAGACATGCAAGTCCAGGAACACAGAGAGTCCCAGTCGAATTGGACCCAAAGAGGGCCACACCAAGACACGTCATAATTAAAATGCCAAGGGTTAAAGATAAAGAGAGAATCTTACAAGCAATGAGAGAAAAGTAGAGAGTCACCTACAAATGAGTTCCCATAAGACTGTCAGCTGATTTCTCAAAAGAAACTTTGCAGGCAAGAAGGGGCTGGAAAATTGAATTGACAGATAAAGTACTTTCCAGACAAAGTAAAGCTAAGTTCATCATCACCAAACCATTATTATATGAAATGCTAAAGAGAATTATTTAAGAAAAAGAAGATCAAAACTATGAATGTTAAAACAGCAATAAATTCAAAATTTAGCAAACAAGCAGAAAAGCACAGCAGAAACAGAATCATAGATGTGGAGATCATTTGGAGGGTTTTCAGTTGGGTGGAGGAAGGGGGAGAAGGGGGAAAAGGTGCAGGGATTAAGAAGTACAAATTGATATGTACAAAATAGGAATAATATAGGTAAAGTAGTAGCCAAAGAACTTACATGCACAACCCATGGACAAGAACTAAGGGGGGAGATTGGAGGAAGGAATGGGAGGTATCAGGTAGAGGGAGGCAAAGACAGAAAATTCAGACAACTTTAACAGCATAATCCATAATATATACTTAAAAAAACAAAAAGTAGAGGGAGGTCGCAGGGACTGGGTGGAAGGAGAAATGGGTAGTTATTCAATTGGTGTAGAGTTTCAGATTTGTAAGATGAAAATATTGCAGAGATCTTTTTGTGACAATATGAATATAGTAAACTTCTGAATTGTACACTTAAAAATAGTTAAGTTAATAAATTCTAAACTGTATACTTAAAAACAGTTAAAATGATAAATTTTATTTTTAATTAAATCATTTAATTTTATTTTTTTAAACGAGAATGAAAAATACAGAAAACAAACCTGTTCTGCTACTGTGTTGATCACCACCAAATGAGCCCCCATCTTAACACAGTTCTGCTCACTCTTAGTCCATAAATTCTCTTCTCTAGGAATGAAGTAGCAGCTGGAATCAAAAGATTTCCAAGTACTTGGGCAACATCCCCAGACTTTTTCTATGTTGTAAAAGAGAAGAGTGAGTGTAAGATGAGGCAAATAAGATTAAAAAGGTGAGTTCTATACATGTGACATTCCAAGAATCTGAGTTTGTTTTTCTAGGGGTGAGCTTCTTAATTCATGTAGTTACTGTTCCCTAAAACATATCATTTGAGGTCATAAAGTTGCTTTTAAATAAATGTTCTTTAACATTAAGTTCTCACTACTTACCAAGGTTTACCTGCAGAATTTCTCTGGATTTTTTTTTGCTAACAAATCACTACCATATTTTTATTCTTTATATCCCTTCTATATTAGATGCACCAAGTTCTATCAGAGTTACAAAGGACTAATAATGTCAAATGCCAGTTCTACTTAATAATCTTGGGCAAGCCACAAGCCTCAGGTTTTTAAATGTAAATACTAATTATTCACAGGGTGATTATAAGAATTAGAATTATGCTTCATTAGAATTCTGGTTCCACCATTTCTTATGTGTGCCTTTGAATAAATTACATAACCCCCTTGAGCCTTAGTAATTTCATCTTTACAATGGAAATAAGAACAGTACCAAACTCAAAAGGAAACCTAATCACATAATATGTACAAAGCACTTTAAAGGGTGCTTAATATGGAATAATAGCTGATAAATGCTTTCTGTTACTAATTTTTACACAGCACCCAAGCATGTAAAAGTTTTAAAAATTATCAGTTTCCTGTCCTTTCCCCTTAGAAACACCAGTTTACCACTATCCTAGAATTTAAAAAACTCTAGCTATGTGTAGACCCATTGACATATTTTGATTATATATGTTTAGATATAAATTTAGCACATATATATGTATACCTAAATAGTAAGTTGTCTTAATTTATTAAGTTTTAAATCTTTTAAAAAGTACTCTTGGTTTGATTTTTTATTCTACATTGTTAACATCCATTCATGTTGCTTTATCTAGTTCTATTTTATTCGCTTTCAGTTATTACATAGTTACATATTTTTTAATTTATTTTTATTGTATTTTTACCATTTGTCCCCCTTATATTCCCCTCCCCCTCCCCCTGGTCCAAATTGCTATCATCAATAAATCAACAAATGGCAAGTGCTGGCAAGGATGTGGAGAAAGCAGAACCCTTTGTACAGTTAGTGGGAATGCAGATTGGCACAGCCACTGTGGAAAACAGTATGGAGATATCTCAAAAAATTAAAAATTGCCTTATGACCCAGCAATTCTACTTCTGGCAATTTATCTAAAGAAGCCCAAAACACTAATTTGAAAGAACATAAGCACCCCTATAATACTGCATTGTTTACAGTCACTAAGTTATGCAAGCAGCCCAAGTGTCCATCAGTAGATGAGTGGATAAAACAACTATGGTACATTTACACAATGGAATATACTCAGCTGTGAAAAAAAAAAAGAAAATTTTACCCTTTGCAACAGCATGGATGGACCTAGAGAACATTATGCTAAGTGAAATAAGCCAGTCAGAGAAAAACAAGTACCACATAATTTTACTCACATGTGGAATCTAATGAACAAACTGAACGAACAAGCAAAACAGACAGACTCATAGACAGAGAGCAGGCTGACAGCTCTCAGGGTGGAGGAATCAAGCAAAAAGAAAAAGGGAGTCATGGACATGGACAACAGTGTGGTGATTAAAATGAGAATAACCTATAGAACTGCTCTTCATTTTATACTGTTATAATATGAATAAAATAGGCCATAGCTATATCATTTTACTATTGGCCACTTTAAGAAATGTATCTTAATTATGCATTCCATTCATGATGGAATCCAAAGGTTGCTTTTCATTATACCCAAGGGTATATTAACATATTTTAATTTAAAAAGTTTAATTTGGCTGACTGTTCTTAATGGTAGGGATTGGCTTTGTTAGTTATGCATACAAAACGTTTTTCATATGTTGAATATGCTAAATTTCCAGAATCAAGATTGCAAAACTATTCAAAGCTGTAACAAACAGAATTACCAACATTGATAATATATTTTCCCAACTGTGCTCTAAATAATGAGCCCATCAAGTTGCTTTGTAAGTATAAAAAGAAGTGTAACTAGTAGTCATTTGATAAGACTTATAAAATCTTTCTTTGGTATAATTCTCCAAAATTAAGAAAACAACTGACTATTGACTGAGAAATAACAAAGCTTTTAAAAATTATTCTATTTATTGTTCTTTATATTCAACAAACGAGGAGAATTACCTAGTCAAATTCTCAGTGAATAGATTATTACAAATAATTTTTGATCCTAAATCACTGTATTTTTTTAGCAAATAACTAGAAAAATTGGGTGACATACTAACAGAGCACTTTATATTCTATGAATTTATTTTGCTAAGTAAGATTTACTAGAGTGTGTTGCTGAAGTGAAAAATAAGAATAGACTTGATATTGAGTTCTACCTCATTCTAGTTATAATATTATTCAAGAGTGGGTACATCTGATTGCATTTTTTAAAAGGTCCATTTGTCTCATTAAAAGATGTACTTCCAATAGTTTTATTAGTAATACATTTATCAAAACTTTTAATAAATTTGTTTTAAATATTGTATTTGATAATTATTATAATGAGTTAATCCAAAAGAAATTTTATAACACTTAAAGCTTTATGTTCCATAGGAAATTAAAATATTAGACACATTCTTATTTACATATCTTAGCAAAAGAGAAAGTGCTGTGTAAATATTAGTCCAAGGAGGAAAAAGAATAATGTAAGACACATGACTGTTAAATAATATTGTACATGTTTTTCTTCTTTTTTATACATGCATAAGAGTGGGCATAACAATTTGTGATGGTATTAAGACACCAGTACATACATTTTTAAAACACTTGTAGTGGTGTTGTTTTTAAGTGCTAATAATTACAATATTTCAGATATTAAACTTTTGCTTCTATCACATGATGAAAAATTTTAGATGTCAAATTAAGTTGAAGAAGTAGGTACCAGTTTTTCAGAAACTTTCTGGGGAGTTGACAGGCATAAGTGTTCGAATGGCACAGGTGTAGGCAAAGTGCAAGCGTATTGAAGAAACTGACTTTACTCTTGCTTTTAATTGTCTCAATGTTCTGACAGTGACTGAGTGTAAAACGAATTGGAAAAAATGCATGTGAATTTCAATTATTTCTTTTACTTGTAATCAAAATGAAAATTTTGCGTTTTCATTGTAATAATAATTTGAAAGGATGTTCTTAAAAGCTGAGCACTTTTATTTGCTGACCTGGTATTATAAATGGTAATATCATGGTATTTATAATACCAGGTCAGCAAATAAAATAAAATAAATTATTTATTAATAAATTATTTATTAATAAATAATTATAAATAAAATATTTTTTATACAAGCTTATCTGTACCTTGAATTATATGCACTGAACAACTTGAAGGACTATAATGTCAACTTGGATATATTTTAGGAGTAAATGAGCAGCCTCTTATGCCCAACGGATGTGGAGTTAATTCAGTAATATCCATCTCAGTCTCACTCATTTCTGAGCATCCTGAAGGCAAAGGCTGAAGCACCCACTGCTGCTTCCAGGAGGTAGCCTTTAAAACGCCAGTTGTTGCTACAGGAGTGACTCCAAATGGTGGAAGAAAGACAATATTGATGCAATTATGTTCCCCCCCAGAAGTGCCAGCTCTACAATATTTTGACCAAAAGCCTCAATGTGACAAAAAAACAAAACAAACAAAAAAGATAAGTCAAAGAGAGTAAAGAAAATAATTCCTCACCACCCCCATGCACCATATTCTGACCAAATACCCCCCCAAAAAAGGGAAAAATTCCAATGTCTCTTAGAAATAGAAACTTTCATCCTCTCTTTATTTTCATAGATTTTCCATGGAAGCAGAGGAGTGAATTATTTAGTTCTTGAAATACCAAGAGTCTAACATCTTTTTGTATCTCTTAGTTGGAAAGAGTAAGGCCATAAGGGCCACGACAAACACGCATTCTGCCTTTTTTTGACATTTCTTATTAGACATAGTGCAAGGTAGACCATGATCCTGAATTCCACTTCCTCAACTCTTCATACTGAAGGTACCAGCACCACATTTTTAAGTCAGGAGAGTCTCTCCCTGAGCCACATTTCAGCATCCAAATCAACTGGTAATAAAGGTAGCTGATACTTGGAATGGAGATGGCTGTTATTAACTAGGAAACTTAGATAACAAAAGCAAATTTTATCCTAATGATAAGGGTAAGGATAATTTGAACCAAAACTTATGAAAAATTTTCAGGGTTAGCGACTTACCGATCTCAACAAGTCTTGAGGAGGAATTATTTTGGGGCAAATCTAGAGCCTGATATAAACATAAATTTAAAGATATCTTAATATTGTCTAAGCAAATACCATATACGAAAATATGACAAACCAAATGAACTCAACCCTGAACTCTCTCTGAGAAAAGAGAAAGTCTGGTTAAGAATTGCAACACCTTACCTGTCACCCTTGTCCCTTCACTGAAGCAGGTTAGACTTGAATGATACGTATGTAATGCAGACAGCCTTTGGTCAGTTTTGCCATGTGTAAAATAAGTCACTGGAGAGAAGGAAGAACATTTAGTATCCATTCATTCTTTTGCTATAAAGCCTTATGCTCTATAAATTTGTGCCCAGAAGGCTTCCCTCCAGTTGCCACCATTTTTTACCTCCATTCAAACTCAGTAAAGACCATGTTCAATTACTGCTTGTCTGTACTATTTTTTGTTTGTTTATAAGCCTGTACTTTTTTCCTCTTTTCCCATGAAAATTTATGTAAGTTCTATATTCTAGGACAGAGATTCTATCTCTTTCTACATCAATTAATCACAAACACCTACAACAGTGTCTGCCACAAAATAATCTATAGGTATCTGTTGACCCACTGGCTGTCTGCTTCTCCTTAATTTTCATAATTATGAAGCAAGCATGCAGATTATTTTTATATTTCCTAAAATTTCTGACTGCTGGTAGCTACAGATAAGCCAAGGGAAGTCTTTAAATATTTAGAGAGATTTTAAATGTCTCAAATATTAATTTTCATGTTCACTGGTGTCCACATTGAGCAAGACCTGTTCTCTCTTGGGTCCTGAAATGATTCTTCACTCATTTCTGTGTTGGTCCTCTACTGCTGAAGCTCAATATTATCAAACTATTCTACCTTTCTCTGAGCCTGCACTGCAGGGTCCTGCTTCCTCTTAATTAATAAAATAACTATTCTCAACCCCTCTTCTTTCTTGCATTTGACCATGAAAACTGAAGCAGATTCTAACTTTGGTGATAATTACTTGTGTTTTAGTAAAGGCCAAAAGATTTATTTATCTCAAGGGAACTTCAAACGTGGTCCATTTGACATATACAGTTACTTTCACTCCTGCTAGGCTACTTAGTAACTATTTTTAATCATCTTATTAGTGAATAAAGAATAAAATTATAGATTGGAAGGAAAAAAGTCTTTGTGATTTCAGAAAGTCTTTATGAAACATACTTAAAATATTTATTGGGAAGCAAATGGAACAGTAAAGAAGTATTCCATGACACCTCAAATATTTCATTTGAATATTTTTTTCTCCTTATATTAGACAAGACTCCCACAAAAATTATAAAAGACACTATCCTAAGGTATTGTGATCATAAAAGCAATTATAGTTGCATTTTCAATAGAGGGCTTTTATGACTAGAGAACATATGATCACTAGTGAACCATGTGGTAGAAAATGATGTCCTAGTGGATGGCTACAACTGATATACATCCATATATAAGGTCATGATTGGGTATATACTAATAGAACCAGGTGGACTATATCTAGAAGCAGAGCCAATTATCAAAATATGGAGAAGAGAAAAAAACAGAGGGAGCAAGAGGAAAAGAGGAGGGAGAGGTGGAAAAGAAATAAAAGGAGGATGAGAAGTGGGGGAATTAAGAAAAGCACAGCATTCCAAGTAACATCTAACATATTAATGGCATAAAGGAGAACATACTTTAGGGAATCTTTGGAACATGATAGGGAAAAAATAAGAGAATGGCAGCTCAGTGAAGCACTCACCCACGCAACTCACAATGAAACAAGCACTGAGGAGTGCTATGGAAATTACAGCAACAGACCAGAGCTTGACTTGGTACTGCCATACTGCTTTCTCTGTCAGAGAGGCAAGAAAAATGCAATTACTGAGGGGACCGGAAGTTACCGTTCCTAAGAAGCTTAGGGCAATGAAGAAGCTAGATGAAGAATCTCAGATTAATTAAAAACCTAAAACAAGAAAAGAGCTTAGAAAATGCCTCAGAATAAATGAGCAGATAGTAGTTCTGAAGCCCCAAACAGTCTGGGTATATCTCATCCTCAATCAACTGTAATTTCTACCTTCTTTTTCCTTCTAAAAATTACATTTCCCCATGGATGCTTCATCTTTCTTAAAACATCACCTTTTTTTCCTGCTTCCCATACCACTGTATTAATATTTGGTTTCTTATTCTGTCCAGTACTTCTAGCTCTGAGGAATTATTCTTTCTTCTAACTTCTGACTGCTATGGTGGTCCAGTCTTTATCCCTTCAGTCTATCCATTGACTAACCTCTTCTTTCCAGATAACTCATCATCTCATCATATACTTCTACCTTTCCCTCTGGAATTAAGAAAATAAATGCTAACCTGAAACTTGAGGTTGCCTTTCTCGCACCATTATGTGGGCTCCCTGTGTTCAGAAGGCCCAGTAGTCTCTTGAGTCTCTCTCTCTCTCTGAAGATAGTGCCCAGAGCCTTGGATTTGTTCAAATAATTCAGACACAGGAGTCAAAGGACTGACACTCTGATGAAACTAAGAGACTTCCAATAAAAAGTAGACATCAAAAGAAGAAGTCAAAGTTTAGACTAAAGTTTCAGTGGTCTGTTTTGAGTATGAGAAAAAATAAAAGAGGAAATAGAAAAATATAGCCAAGACAGTTCATGAAAACTTTGATGAGAGTGTTCAGATTATTTGTTCAGTTTCTGACATGAAATTTCTCTGTCTAATTCCTATTCACCTTGGCATGCAAAGTAGAACATTTTATGTAACTTAAAAGAAACGTACTTGTAGGCTTTACTTTAGTGCTCCCTAGCCAATCTCTGCATTGGATTTTATGTAAGGCTTAATCCATGTGTTGAACAGTGTTTTAGGAATGACCAAAAGTCTGGTTGACTAGATATAGCTTACATAGTATATTAATATAGTAAATTACTTAAAGATCCATGGATATTGTTCAGGAATTTGATTGCAAAATGGAAGGTTCTGAAATTTATCTGCAAAAGTAATTAAACATTTTTAATGCATCAAGACCAGTATTTAATAGAGGTTAGTAATATCTTATAACCCCCCTGATTAGGTAAAAGAAGACTCCAAGTAGTATAACATCAGTGGCAGATTTTATAAATTTCTTGTCATTACTTAAGGGCTTGAGAATCCTTCTACATAAAGTCTCCAGACCATAGAGCTTTCTACTAACATCAAAAATATCTCCACACTCTCAAGTGAGAATCTTGAATACAAGAAAAATTATATACCATGGATAAATGAATATTGAACTCATCAAATCTTTTTTAAAAAACATAGCTGTAGCTAATCATGAAATAGACATTGAGGACAGAATTAAACCCCCCCAAAATTTATCCCTAGGGTTGGTTTGAAATGTAACAGGTCTTTCCTAATGAGTGAAGAAGTGGTTGTGAAATATCATCCCGTTTCCAGTTGCCCACAGAAATGAAGAAACACAACCCAAGGATTAAGTCACTTGTTGGTCCAGGAAAAGAAAATATTCTCCTTAGCTATGTACAGGAAAAGCAATTAAAAAAACTTCTTGCTTCCTCGCTCATGTCCAGTGTAAGCTCTCCCAATCACATAAGGATTGTGACCATTGGCAACCTTGTGCTCCATTCTCTTTGCTTTTTCCCATTCCCTTGTTCCATATGCATTTCTAGATTGCTACAAGCAAAACTTTGAATGGTAGAAGCAAAGTCAGAAAGGTGTAAGGCACCAAAATAAAATATCAAATAAAATAAAACAAGAATTGATAATAAAATGGAAAATTGGATCAAAAGCTAATTTTTGGATAGGTTTGGGTCAGATGTGCAATAAAATTTAGGATATTTTGAGTCTTCCGAGGGACTCAGAAAAAAATTAGCTTTCATTTAATACAAAAATCACATACTAATAGACAGAGTCAAAGTAAATATTCTTTGATTTTTGACTTAAACTCTTTTATAAAGGAGACATGATTTGCTAATCAGAAATTTGAACCAAATCCTTTTCCAAGAAAGCAGCATTGGGCTACTCTTTTAAAATTAATACTTGCAGAATCAATAATATGCCAACAAATTGGACAATCTGGAAGAAATGGATAAATTCCTAGAAACATGCCATACAAACTTTCAAAAGTAAATCAAGAAGGAATGGAAAACCTGAATAGACCAATTACAACCCACAAAATTGAAGTTTTTTAATTTAAAAAACTCCCAACGAACTGAAGTTCTGGACTGGATAGCTTCACAGGCAAATTTTACCAAACCTTCAAAGAAGAACTAATACCTATCCATCCTTCTCTGTTACAAAAGATTCAAGAGAAGGGAAGACTCCAAGCTCATTTTACAAAACCAGCATTATCCTAGTACTAAAACCAGATAAAGACACTAAAAAAAAAAGTATAGGCTCATATCCTTAATGAACATAGATGCAAGAATCCTTAACAAAATATTAGCAAACTAAACTCAGTAATACAGTAAGAAGATTATACACCATGGACAAGTGAGATTTATTCCTGTGATGCAAAGTTGGTATAATATCTTCTAATCAGTTAACATGATACACCACATAAAAAAGATGAAGGGTAAAAATCCAATTGCAGAAAAAATATTTGTTAAAATCCAATACCCACTTATGATAAAAATTCTCAGGAAAATGGGAGTAGAGAGAACAGTACAGTTCTCTCATAATAGAGACCTCAACATAATAATGTTCATGTAGACCTGAGAACAATATAGACTTTGACATAATAAAGGCTGTATATGAAACACCCACAGCCAACACCATACTCAGTGAGGAAAAACAAAAAGTATTTCCTTTGTAATCAGGAACAAGACAGAATATTCAATTTCACCACTCTTATTCAACAGTACTGGCCACAGCAATCTGAATAGAAAAAGAAATAAAAGCCACCCAAATTGGAACAGATGAAGTAAAGCTGTCATTATTTACAGATGGCATGATACTGTTTGTAGAAAATCCTAAAAATTCCACCAAGAAACTACTAGAATTGGTCAATGAATTCAATAAAGTAGCAGGATACAAAATAAATATCCAGAATAAATATCAGTTACATTTTTATACACCAATAATGAACTACCAGAAGGGGAAACTAAAAGAGCAATCTCATTTACGATCGCCTCAAAAAAATAATAAAATACCTAAAAATAAATTTAACTAAGAGGGTAAATAAAACTCTACTTGAAAAATTATAAGACACTAAAGAAAGAAATTTAAGAAAATACACATAAATGTATAGGAAGAATTAGCATCATTGAAATATCCATACTACCCAAAGCAATTTCTAAATTCAATGCAATTTCTACCAAAATAACAATGGCAATTTCACAGAAGTAGAACAAATATCCAAAAATATTTCTGGAACCACAAAGACCTTGAATAGCCACAGAGTTCTTGAGAAAGAAGAATGAAATTGGAGGCATCATGCTACCTAATATCAAGCTATACTACAAGGTCATAGTAATCAAAACAGCATAGTACTGGCAGAAAAATAGAGAGAGAGATTAAACTGATGGTTTCCAACAGAGAGAGGCTAGGGGACTTGGTGAAAAAAGGTGAAGAAAGTAGAAATACAAATTTGTAGTTATTAAATAGTCACAGAGATACAAATTACAGCACAGGGACTATAGTCCGTAATATTGTAATAGAATGAAATATCGGGGGGCACATTGTAAAGTATATGATTGTCTAACCATTATGCTGTACACTTGAAACTAATATAATATTGAATCAACTGTAATTGAAAACTCGATTTAAAAATAAACACAAGAGAGGACTTCTGTGAAGATGAAGGCATAGGTGGAAACACTTTACCTTCTCAAACAACCAAATCTAAAAACAACAAAGTTTCAGCAACAATAAATGCCCCCAAACCATGGAAAATTGAACAATACGGAGTCCGACATCAATGAACCACCCAACTAGACTGGTAAGAGGGGTGGAGCCAGCAGCAGAGTGGGTCGGGCAAAAAAGATCCCCCGATCCAGGCAGCCAAGGGCAAACCCCAGGTGTGGGGTAGCTACGGGCAGACCCAGTGAAGGCGCAGGCGGCTGGCTGACCGTGGTCACACATTTGCGAGCAGATAAACTAGGGAAGGAGTGAGCAGTGAGACAGACTGGGCAGGCCCCAGCGGTGGGAAGGAGCAGAGGGGACCGCTATTGCTCCCTCTCTGACCCCACCCCCACATACAACATCATAAACCAGTGACCTGGGTGGCCCCGCCCTGGTGAACACCTAAGGCTCCTTCTCTCCTACAGGCACGAACAGATCAAAACATGGCTCAAGAACAACTCAGAGCCCCAAAGCCGATAAATCTAAGCGATGAAGAAATAGACAAATTTTCAGATGCACAGTTCAAAACACTGGTGATCAGGATGCTCACAGAACTGGTTGATTTTAGCCACAAATTAGAGGAACATATGAAGGCTAAACTAATTGAAATGAAGGGAAATGCACAGAAAAGCAATAGTGATGGAAAGGAAAATGGAACTCAAATCAAGGGAGTAGACCAGAAGCAAGAAAAAAATGACCAAACAGAAAAGGACGAAGAAACAAGAATTCAAAAAAATGAGAAGAGGCTAAGGAACCTCCAGGACATGTTTAAATGCTCCAACATCCAAATTATAGGGGTACCAGGAGGGGAAGAGGAACAGCCATGAGTGGAAAACTTATTTGAACAAATAATAAAGGAGAACTTCCCTAATCTGGCAAAGGAAATAGACCTCCAGGAAGTCCAGGAAGCCCAGAGAGTCCCAAAGAAGTTGGACCCAAGAAGGAACACACCAAGGCACATCATCATTACATTACCCAAGATTAAAATGAAGGAGAGAATCCTAGAAGCAGCAAGATAAGGGGACAGTCATCTACAAAGGAGTTCCCATCAGACTGTCAGCTGATTTCTCAAAAGAGACCTTACAAGCAAGAAGAGGCTGGGAAGAAGTATTCCAAGTCATGAAAACCAAAGACCTACAACCAAGATTGCTCTATCCAGCAAAGCTTTCATTTAGAATGGAAGGGCAGATAAAGTGCTCCTCAGATAAGATCAAGTTCAAGGAGTTCATCTCACCAAGTCCTTATTATATGAAATGTTAAAGGGACTTATCTAAGAAAAAGAAGATAAAAAAGATGAACAGTGAAAGGACAGCAAACTCACAGTTGTTAAGAACCACACCTAAAACAAAAGCAAACTAAGAGGACAGCTAGATCAGAAGTGGAAACCTAGAAATGAAGATCGCATGGAGGGTTAGCAACAGGGGAGTGGGAGGAGGAGAAGGTGGGAGAAGCTACAGAAAATAAGTATCATAGACCATAGATAGAAAATAGATGGGGGGAGGGTAAGAATAGTATGAGAAATATAGAATCTAAAGAACTTGGGACATGTGGTCATAAACTAAAGGGGGGAGTGGTAGGGGAGGGGTGTGCAGGATAGAGGGGAATGAAGGGGGGAAATAGAACAATTATAATGGCATAATCAATTTTTAAAAAGCAAACA